CACGAAGACGTCGTTGGAGCGTTGACTTTGGCACGTCATACGCTACTGCGAGGGCGCGCACTGATTGTTTTGGATTCTTACGATAAGATGCCATAGCGAGACTTATTCTACCTTCACAAGAAGTCTGTATAGAGCGTTGTTGTCGCGGCATAGTGGTGGTTGTGAAGAGCGTTGGATCAGGTTGGGTGGGGTGGCCCACTAACTGATCCGGCCCACTTACTGATCCTTGACGTTACACGTATTCGCGTATATAAGCAAGGGATGTTGAGCTCGAGTGTGCGTGCACTTTGAGCGAATATGGAATGAGTGCAAGCCCGACACTGAGAATGGACACCAAGGATGCAACAACAGCTTTCTGATACACAAGAGACTTGCGTGGTGGTGTTGGGGCGCCGATTCCCGAGATTAAATTTGCAATCAGGATGAAAAAAAAGATGAGTTACAGAAAAGTAGGAAGGGTGGCAGACGAACATATAACATCAACAATGTTTGGAATAAGCATCGAGTAGTGAGAGATGCGTGGTACTCATTGGACCTCAGTTGGTTTGAGCACTGGTAGCTGCACTAGAGCCCGTCAAAAGAAACATTCGGAAACTTCATTAGGCGACCTTGGTGTAGAGATAGCAGGGCTGGATGTTTGCCTTTTCCCTCAGGCATCCTTGCAAAAAGCATCCATCAGAAACCCCCATTCGGGTACATCACAGTCAAAACACCGATCTGGACATATGGGTTGCTTGTCTGTAGCCCACCCAAATAAGGATCGAAGATCGCACAGCACCAAATCTCGCAAGAAGTAGGCACGAGACTTTTTCATGTGGAAACACAGAGTGTCAGTCGGCCATGAAGCATATACTTTTGCCTGACTTCTCAAAACGTACAAGCAGGTTGCACAGGGTGTCCGGAATATGGAGCCGGATGTCATGGCTATGTCAAGCTGGTGGTTGAAGCTTGGTCTAATAGGACTCGCCGATTCTTGGGCGATTTCTTGAGCGTCTGGCCCATGATGGGCGGAGCATACCAAGACAACCGGCAAAGCGCGCGCCTCGTGCTCGTATTCCGAACTCAGTTGCAGTGGGGTCCAACTGACTCCTGGATTCTGAAACATTGCACAGCGTCTTTTCAAACCGAGGGGAGTCCTTAGTGAACCACAGTTTCTGCAGACGCCATCCGGATGTTGAGAGAATATTACACACGTCCATAGGATGTTTATCGATAGCTCTTTTCGCTTGAGGCTGACGGCTGAAACGACGGCGTTGTGCGGTTGGCGTACGGCAATGGGAGCCCCGTACAACCCCTGTTGGCAGCAGACTGCGAGCCGAGAGGTGGCCCGACCACAAGAAAAGCACGCTTGGTCATTTTGAACCAAAGAAGACATAACGTCACTGCCTTCTGATTCGTCCTGTCGATTATTAGATGTATCTCACCCCCCTCCGGATTCCACTGAAAAGTCTTGAGGGGCCGTCGAGACCTGTGGATATTTGGTTCAGGAACAAATAGTGCCGATCTAGTCAACAGAGAAGCGGCCAAGGCAGCCGCAGCAACACAGTGGAGACGACAGGATTAGCCAACTCTGTCATTCGAAAGGCTGCCCAAGACCGGGGCCACTAGGAATGACCGTTCAACACCCTGGTGACCCAAGTGTCCTTGTGCTTAGTTCTGCTGTACCTACATTAGCGTCAGGCACATATCCCACGTAATGGGGCGTCAGTGGGTATGGGCGTCAGCAGGCCGCAAGCCGGTGCCGACAGAAGCCACAACGTAAACGATTCTCTTGCTTTTCGGGAAATGCGGGGAGAAGGGGGACGGAAGAAGCGTCTGGATCTCCTTGTGGGATCATTTCAGCCCTTGCTCCGATTATACATAAGGTCTTTTCGTTCCCCGTCCGGTCTCGTTTTTCTTCACGCTCCAGCAAGCAAGTCATTCTTTCCACAGTCAGTCTTTGACCAGTCACTCTTTCATAGCCAGGTGCTATCAGAAACTCGCTCTTCGTCATTCTTTTATACCCTTTAGCGTTGCCTCGTCATCAATACCCCCAACGAACCCTCTTCTGCAAATCGCCATTATGTCCATGTCCAAGATCTTTCAGACCACTGCCCTTGTCGCAGCTCTCATTTCCACCGTTGCCGGCCACACTTCTGTTGAGAAGTTCGAGGCTGGTGGCAAGACTTATGAAGGCTACCGTCAGGCAAGCAAGGTCGATCCAGGTAATCAGTCTCCTGCGTGGTGGACCGCTCAGGGCTGGGGATACCAGCCCGTGTACGGCGACAAGATTGGACACCCCGACATCATTGCTCACAAGGACGCTTCCCCCTCGCCTTACACTGTTCCAGTTCCCGCTGGATCTGATGTCACTTTCCACTGGCACCACGAAGGCAGCTGTGGCGGTGGCGAAGAGGGCTGGGACTGCTCCCACCACGGCTGGACTGCCACTTATCTCGCCCCTTGCAACGGTGACTGTGCCAAGGTCGACAAGACGACCCTCCAGTTCTTCAAGATCCACGAGTCCGCCCTGATCGACTACCGCAAGGGCCGCTACTCATCCGGCTCACCCCAGGAACAAACTGGTTACTGGGGCACAGACGCCATCTTCTACGACAATGGCAACACCCAGACAGTCAAGATTCCATCTGACATTCCCAGCCAAAGCTACGTCCTCCGAACCGAGGTCGTCTCCATCCACAACAATGGCGATGTCAGCAACCGCCAGTTCTGGCCTCAAGCCTTCAACATCAAGGTTACTGGCGGTAAGGACGGCGCCAAGGTCCCTGCTGGAAAGAAGGGTACCGAGCTGTACAAGGCCAACGACCCGCTCCTCAAGTGGGATCTTTACTGGCACCAGGCTGGCAAGACATCCCCAGATGCTCCTGGACCTGAAATCGCATCTGTTGCTTCCAGCAACTCCAGGCGCCACGCCAGGGACTTTTCTTAGACGACCTTCATCTTTCTTTAAGGCTTCTTTTATGGACATGGTTTCGGGTGGACTATGATCTTGGCTTTGCAGTCAAGACAAACGGAAAACGGCGCGAATCTGCTTCGGCGATGGCTTTTGACGCACACTTCTTCTTCTTATGTTCCTTTGTGGAACTGGTTTTGAGAACACGACGCTTGCGGCACGATCTCATTGGTTTTTCTTCTTCTTCTCTATAGATACTTATCCTGCATCTCAGCGGATGTGAATGCAAATGAAAATGCATGTTCTGGGCTTCGAGCTCAACTTATACCTCGCCTCCACTTCTTCCAACTGTTTTGTGATGCACATGTCATGTTTTCTAGCCTAGTCTTGCATCAACAACTCTTGTTCGCAAATCGCCATGCTTGCATTTTTGTTTTCGGTTGTATATTCTACTGTCCGCGGAAATGACCCTTTCACGGCTTCTCCTCTAACCCACGTTAACACGGACTACGTTGAACACACTATCGACTCCTTTATTCCAAATATTACACTAACATATCCTTGTCGACATTACAAATTGCATTCGGACTACGCTGCTCTCACGCTAACCCTTTTGATGAGCTCTGGTTCAAAATGATTAATGGTGTACCGAATGCCGCATAGAGGCCTGGAACATAGTGTACCAAAATCGTGCATGATACTCTTTTGTGTAATGCAGAGTACTAGCGCAAGCCGAGGTAGCCCGTATCTTATGGCATTCGTTATAGTCGATTGTCTTAGACTAGATTGATTTTCATGTGATGAGGTCGAGTACGCAGTACCTGAAGGTCTGATTCGCATTACTCTTTCAGGTTGAATAGACTTCACCGGAATACTCAGGAATGCAAATGTTGCAATAATATTTTCAAGGAATGAAACTCAAATTTTGACTCGATGGTGTTGGGTAGAAACATGTTCATTTCCCTGTAATTAAGAATAGGATGAAGCCAAATGGAAGCGTCTATCAGTTGCCCGTCTCTTGCAGAGGAAACATTATTTTCTACTACAAGACACTAGCGTAGCACTGTAATCTGGTTGTTTCTTACGCGTTAGTTCATGGGATCGTAGTGATTTCGAATGTCATCGCATTAGGAGATAACTAGCCAGACACACGCATCAGCCCCACTCTGGTCATACGACGACCCCGCTCTCAGCAGCTCTCGGTTAGGAATATTTGTTATTGAGCCGGTTATACTCGTTATTGAACTTTTTTATCAGCTCACTCTTGTTTTCGAAGAGTTGTGTTGAAGAAAGAAATTCATCAAAGGTACTTAAGGGAAATGCTGAATATTTCATAACGTGATACTGTTATGAACATCTTCGCAGACTGATAGCCCAATCAAAAGCTATCGTATGCTCAGTTATAATGTGCATAGGTCGGAGCATTATCATGAACACAGTCAGCAGAAGAAATCCTAAAGAGCAAGTGGAGGGTTGGACTGTAGCAGGATTTTCTCGAATTTAGCCACGTGTCTCGGCATCGAAGAGTTTCTTGTCAGCTTCGGGTGTATGCTGACTGGATCTTGCAGGATCATCAACAAACTTGTATTGATGCATTACCACTACATACCACAATGACGATATAAAGCTCAAATTTTCAGAAGTATCCTATATTCTGAAAGCATCGTTGGTCCAGCGGTAGGATAATTGCTTCCCAAGCAATTGGCTCGGGTTCGACTCCCGGACGACGCATCAAAAATATTTTTGCAGCTGTAGCTCTTTTTGCTGCGCCCTTCAAATCATCGCCATTGCAGACGATTTGGTACAACATTGACTTTGTCTTCCGAAAAGGGCAGTGGCATCGAGAGATGCTGCAGATGAACACCACTTTCTTTGCTGGGTATCCTGTCGTCAACATTTAAGGTTGACCAATTGTTCTTTTGCCAGCGCTGGCGGTGCAATGAGAATAAACAGTAAGACTAAGATCACATTCAATCATGTAAGATGTAAAAGAGATGAATGCAAAGCATGCGCGAAGAATCAAAAAGCTTTTTGCAAATTTCTCCGTTTGGTGTACCCACTTGCATGTTTTCAGGCTAGCCCAGGTACCTGGGCGTATATGGACCAGAGATTGTGTATGCTAAAGGCAGCTAGTACAAAAGAAACCAAAGTCATTGCGTGTCCGTGGTCGTGTCCAAGCAGGCCATGATCGATGCGATAGGCATGGGTGATGTTGTTTTGATACACCGGGCATTATGTTGACGAGGTGACTGAAGATGAGACGCATTGAACCAAGCGACACCAGATGTTTGAAAGTGTTGCCAGTGAGCTGTTGGCCATACAGTTGTGCCCTGCAAAGCTCTCGAGGAATCTCGACCGCGAATAAGAGTATAGTACCATCATACGTCAACCGGCACCCCATATGTTCCGATCCTTTCTGGAATTTGTCTAGATAAAAAGCGAAAACCTATCCATGAAGGTGTTCATCAGGCTAGTGCTGAATTTGCATTTTAGACAGAGGATTAAATCGTAACAATGGAAAGAGATATAGTAGCAGGTGTTGTGTAGAGCAAGCGCGCTGGCAATCGAGCTCAAGTCGAGGCAGATGTGGGGTCCAGCAACCGCCCGTAGCGCTGCGTCATTGCTCGTGAGCCAACTCAACCAACAGCTCAAACAGCCAACGTCTGCTCCCCAAACTTGTCCTCATCCCAACCACTCACCACCCTTACTCCGCCAAAAATGGCCTCCAAAATCGAAAAGACGCTTGCGCGACAAAGAGAAAAGTGAATGCCTCGCGAAACGCCCCTGAATGACGCTGTCAAGCTGACCCCACCATAGAATCGCAGAGGGTCAGTACTACGAAGCCCACCAACAACTCCGCGTGATCGCCTCGCGCTACACAAAAGCCAGCGACTGGCCCAACGCAACCTCGATCCTCTTCCAAGGCGCACAATCGCTGCTACAAGCTGGCCAGGGCGGCTCCGGCGGCGACCTCTGCATCTTCCTACTAGACGTGTACAACAAAGGGGAAATCAAAGTAGATGCCGAAAGCAAAGGGCGGCTGTTAACACTTCTGCGGGCGTTCCCCAAGGATGAGCCTACCAAGAAGAAGTTTGTGGGCGAGATGATAGTATGGAGTTCGCGGTTTGGAGACTTCCCTGCAGGCGACCCGGAGTTACATCATGTTGCGGGGGGGTTGTACGCTGAGGGTGAGTTTTCCCAGCCAGAGATACCAGCATGCTGCGTCGCGAGCAAGAAGAAGAGATCATAAAAGAGAAAATCAAGGAGGATGTATTCAAAGCTCTTGCTAACTTGCAACCCACAGAACTCGAACCCTACGAGGCAGAACGCCACCTTCTCCTCGGCACCCAAGATAGCGCTGCAACCCTCGCTTCCCTACACTACAACTGGTACACATCAGATGCGCCGCACACAGCGCCCCTCTACTGTGCCCGTGGCGTCCTGCCCTACCTCCTCACCGGCAACCTCCGAGCCGCAAACAAATTCTTCCTCCTCTTCACCTCTGCCGTCGAGAAAACACCAAATCCACCCACACAAGCCGTTTCCACAAAGTCGTCTGAATTCCGCGTATACCCCTCGCTGCCATTATTGAATTTCCTCGGATTGCTCCTTCTGAGTGTGGAAAGGGGAGATCCCAGTCTGTGGCGTCAGCTAAAGAGCCATTATGCGGGCGATTTGAAAGACGTGAACTGGAATGAGGCGTTGGATCAGATTGGCGAAATGTACTTTGGAATCAAGATCCCCCGACAGGGCAATCCCATGTTCGATATGCTTGGGAGCATGTTTGGAGGCGGCATGGGAGGCGGGAATGGAGGAGCGAAGAAGGCGGTTGGAGGAAGGGCCCCACCAACCGCAGGATTGGATTGAGCGAGGGTATAGAGGAGGAAGGAGAAGAAGTGAAATAAGCACAATAGATGACGATGCCACGGCGGCAGAGATACCAACGTATACCCAGAAAAGAAAAAAGGCAGCAAAGCTCAGAAGAGTAATTCATGAGGGATATTTATTTGTTCACGTGATTGTGCCTGATGCTAATGTCTACCTGGTCATGTCGGCATGACAGTCCACTCAAACCCCTTCTTAATGATACCCATCTTGCCCTTTACATGGGGATGGTCTTCTCCTTGAAGTACACACCATACTGGTCCTCCAATGTTTTCATCAACGGCTTGCAAATCTCCGTGCTCATAGGCGCTAGGATACCCTTCTCGCTGAGCGTACCGTCAAGTACCTGCTGGACAGCTACCGCGCACGGCACACCGACCAACTTGGCCATGGCCGAGTAGCCCTTGGGGTCACCGTAGTCTACGAGTGTGCAGGTGCGGACCGCCTTGCTGCCGTCCTTGTTTTCGATTTCGAACCTGTGCTGGAGCATGACCATGTCGCGCTCACCCTCCTCATACTGCATCTTCTTCTCCAGAGTAGCGCATAGAGTGTCCAGAGGGTTGCCGCGAGGAATGATTTCCTCATCTGAGATGATACCGATCCAGCGGAGACCGGAAATGATGCGGTCCTTCTCTTCTGTGCTGGCGAACTTTGTTCGGGAGGAAATGGCCCAGATGATGTCTTCGTCCTTGCTGCTGGTGGCACCAACAATCTTGGCCGTGGCATCGCGCCAGGTGCTCTTCTGGCCCTCCTTGAGGAAGTCCTTGGGGTCTTCTGACAGGAAGCCAATGTCTACCAGGCACTTGATGTACTCTGGGAAACCCTGGTACCTCAGTGTACCACGGATAATGGTTTGTGCCTCTGGGATGTTGTAGCGCTCCTTGTAGGGTGTAGAGTCACGGTTGGGGTATGCGACGAAAGCGTAGCCGGGGTAGATGAAGTATGGCTTTGCCTCAGCCATGAGCTCTGGGCCCTCGATCGACTTGACCTCGCCATCTTGGTAGAAAGCTGCCTGATTTCTCAGGGCGAGCAGTACACCCCTGGAGCTCCAGGAGAACTTGTAACCGAGGGGGTTGTCTGAGGCCTCTGGAGCGGGAAGACCACCGCAGTATGACTTGAAAGACAGGATCTTGCCGCCAGCCTTGTGGACC